AGTGGCCTAACTGAAACTACAGTCATCTGTTGTACACAGTAAACGTTACAGTATCATGTCAGTTTACAGTATTTCAGCCTGGACTCAGTGAAAGCAGCGTCAACCAATCATATGATGACCCCAGTTTTCTCTTATGTCCCACTCCTGACGCTCAGGTTTGGTTTATTCAACACGCCACAAAGATGGACATCTGGAAGTAGTTGAGGAAACAGGGGCACACATATACATGTCCACATACTCACGTGGGCACATGGACATATGAAGTAGTCTACTATGAGGTTTGCTTACCTTAGAGGCCATCTGGACTGTGGCCAAAAACTCACTGGAGTCTGACCAGACCCATGTGACTGTGGCAGCAGATGTGGAGGGGAAAAAAAGGGTTGAAATCTCTTCCTCCACCAGAGATGTGGTAACTGCAAATAAAACAACAACCTGAGAAGAATTATTATATAATAAAAATATTTGCTCCTATAATTGTGCAAATTTGATGTCAATGTTTCATTGTTTGTGTTTTTGTTGAAGTTTGTTCCTTTGTTTATTACTCCTTTACTCTGTACATTTATTCGCTGGATGTGGTATATATGTATTTTCATTTATGAAAAGAAATTATTTTTAACTTACCATTTATTTATTTTATAATATTTATTGAACTATTTTACTTTCAATAACAAACCATTTTTAATTAAACCATTTTTTACATGAAGTCAGAAGTATTGAATTATATATTTGCTAGCAAAGCTAATTGGTAGCTAAAAGCGGCTAAAAAAAATCAAATGAGCTGGAAGACCAGTTTAAACTCAAGTGAGAAAAGGCTGAAAATGTAGTCAGAAATATCTAAACTTACCAAGTTAACTGAGCTAATACAGTGCCAAGAAAATGAACTACCCCCCCCCACTCCCAAAATAACTCAAATGAAGCCAAATAGCATGAGATCCAGAAATCTAAAGCTCACTAGAAAATTAAGCCAAAAAATTGTGAGAAATTAACCACATATTCCAAGAAGTTGGCTCAGAAAGAGCAAAATATTTTACCCTACCCTCTGGGATTAGAAATGGAATAAATAAAGGAATGAATGAAAACATGGTGGCTGATGATGAAGAATGAGGAACCTCACAGATTCAAGCAGATTCATTGTGAATGGAGTTTGGATGTTCTCCCCATGTGGGGGTCCAAAAACATGCAGGATTAGGTTAATGGTTCACCCTGAATCACTGATATGTTTAAGTGTGAGTTCTGAAATGGTCTGGCCAATAGGCCAAGGTTTACTCTACTAGTACGTGGTACTTTCTTTGCCATCTCATGTTTTCTTTTCTTAACCTTGTAGATAGACAGCACTGTGTGTTTGAAGCAGTGAGAACACGTGTGTCTGTTCCACACTTAAAGAAAGCTCAGTATGTGGAAAACATGGAGTAAATAACACACTGGTGACATCAGCGCTGGTGTGAAAATGTAGAACACGGTTGCCGTTCCTGTTACAAATGACCACTTGTCAGAGAGCCACAGCCAAATTCTGAGAGTCTGAGCCAAATTATTTTACACCAGAGTGAGAAAAATTAGAGTGTAAACTCTCGGACGTGAGAACCCCCCTGCCCCCCTCTACGTCACACATGCTGTCACGAAATCTCACATGCTGTCAAACAATTATATGTGACTCCATGTCTGGCATGAGCATGAATACAGATGGAGGGATGACACTGGCACTTAAACATGGATTTAAGGCGGTAGTACAGTGGTGTACAGGGGCTCTGTTGTAACTGCAGCCCCCGGCTCTGCCCCTGTTTTCTGTAATAACAGGTCCCAATGTGGAAATAGCTGGTTAATGTTTATGTCAGGGTCTGGGAGTGGGCTCCACTGTGGGCTCCCAGTCACTCGGGAGTCGACACCTCTACAGAATAATGTATGGGAGTGAGGCATAGCAGGTAAAGACAGAAGGTGTTTCCATTAGCCCCCAGTTGCCATGACAATGTTCTGGCGTTGCTATGGGATGGCGAACAGACCCCCATTTGTATGTGTCCCACTGATCTGAGGTATCAACGTTTGTTAGTTTTTCACGGCTTTAAAAACACCCACCTGTACACACACATACCAACACTGAGCTGGGACTGTGCACCACGTTTTTTAAACCCGTGACTTTTTTGTGTTAATTGTGGGTATTATAATGTTTTGCAGGCACTGTTATATTTCATTTCACTTTGGAATCTGTGCACATCTAAATGCCAGTTCCAGAACAAGTTGGTTTTGTGTGACAAATTAGAATATTGGGCCACGTTCTGAATCCCACATAGTATAACCACATAGTCCAATATTAGATTGTGTAACAGATTGTAGACCCTATACATGGACCAGACAAGTTTAAGGGTCAGACATAAGGCCAGGTAAATATGGCTTGCATGGTGTTGATCAATGAGGGCCAATGGTCGGATCTGCTCCAGAAGAGGCTCAATGTTGGTTCAGATTTGGTGGAAATTGGGCAACATTCTGAATACCAGAACAGGTACAGATAGTTTAATATGGTCTAATTAAGAACCAGAAGAATGGCCTCTATATATATCACTTAGAATCCGAATGTGGACCAGATAACAGAGAGATAGACAGATTCATCAAACAGCACGGGTAATTACTAAGATTTTGTATATCAGATTGTAGAATAGACAGGGTGGTCTAACATACCTATATGATGTTAATATGTGAACCACTTGTAACTTAAACTAGGACAGGGTTCGGTTTTAATTGCGATGAGATGCGACCTACATCCTGGACTCCAGATGTGGGCTAGATGACTGGTCCAAAAAAGGGCTGGGTTTGTCCAGTCGTATGGACCAAAGACCATGTGGCTCCAATGTGTTGGATATCAGATGTGAGGCAGGCAAAGCTAAGTTTATACAGAACATAAAACCAGATTAGAATTATGAAGAAGATCAGATTAGGATTATGACTGACCACATTATAGAAACATTTGTATGCATTTCTGTGTTTTAAACTGGGTCTACTGCCAGGTGTACAGATACTTTATTGTTTTCCACTCGTACTTAGCTCTTAAAAGAATACATATATTTGCTTAAAATGTGACAAAAACCTTTAAAATTACTTTCCAATCAACCAGGAAGTTCACTCCTCTTCTGCAGTACATTTATGGAATGACCTCTGCTTTAACAAAATCATAACTGACAAGTGTTGAATGGTGGGTTCATTTGGCATTAAATGGGTTTATAAAGATTACCAGCACTGTTTATAGAGAGTCAACTCTAATAATACCATTTGAAATGCCCGTAGAAACCATTAAAGAATCTTTTCTCTCTTTATCTGCTCCATTATTTTCATTTGAAATTTCTCAGTGCAGTTCCAATCTGTTCAGTCTGGGACATCACACAGACAGCAGCTGTTGCTTCACATTCTCCCTGCAGATTGATCAAGTTCAATAGGCCTATAAGGTTTTTCAGCTTCGGACCAGAACTTCCGTCCAGTGGACACAAATAGGCCCCAGTTCTTGTTTGGAAAATGGGTGGCATTCCTTTGGACCCTCTGGCATGTCTGGCCTCTGGTGCAGTGGAAATGAGGTGGGCTTCCTTCAAAGGACGCCTCTCATCAGGGGAGACAGTAGCACGGCCATGTCAAAATCAACATAGGACCGAGAAAAGGTTAAAAGGCGGAAAAAAATCAAAAGAGCCCATGATGGTAGACAGTGAGGATGAGGTCGAAGGTGTTCCGATGACTTGGCTGTAATAAAAGCAGGACGAGATCAAAGATAAACCTGAGCAGAGAGTGTGAACGGAGAGGAGTCCATGTAAACTGTGACCACTGTGAGTAATTCTTCTGTAGTATAAATGTGAAGAGGCTGGCAGAGTGATTCAAAGAGCTGTGCAATCAATGAACAGAGGGTTTTACTTCATAATCAACTGATCACTACAGCAGAAATTCTCAAATGTTGGGTTAGGAGGTAACAGTCAGTTAAGATGGCCATTGGCTACAGGTAATCATTCGGTGTCTAGTGCAGCAACAAAACACCTTTGTCATCACATTGTATATCATATATTTTAATAATTTTAGGAAAGTTTTTGCTAATGTTCGATATATTATAGATAATACTACTAGGCTCTGCCTTAATCTAACAAATTTGATATGAGTGTTTTTTTCATTATTGAAGTCAAACTTTCAAAAGAAAAATATGAAATTAAACCACAAAAAAATGACTAATGCACCCTCTGTTGTAAATTTCAAAACATTAATATTGATGAATGCCCCTGCGCGGTGTATAATGTTAATGCTTGCAATGGCTCCCTCTTGTGAATACTACCGGTTAGTGCTGTTTACCTGGGCACCTCCTAGTAAACTGAAGCTGTTTTGACCTGTGTAAGATCTGGCCCTGTTCTGGCCCAGTATTTTAGAATCGGCAGTCTTTGATTTTAGGGTTGGCAGAGATTATATTCTGCATAAATAAACTGAAAATATATGATCTGAAATAATGTATAGGCTCTGTACAACATTGTTGTGTGGCGTATTGTGTTATTAATACACATTAAATGCATCAGAAATGGTTAAACACACCAGTTTGGTTAATTCGTTTTCAGACAACACTAAATACATTTTTAAACTAAATTTAAAAAAAAATAGAGTATGTGATACTTTTATAGTGATCATTGTTGTTGTTGTTGTTTTCAGCCATACTTGCTAAACTTAGGCTTAACACTTGTTTGGACTTTGAACAATTACGTAAGACACAAATGATTATTCTAGTGGCCCAGTCAGATCTGGGTCATATGGGTCTATTAATGGATCTACTGTTAGGAGAGATACAACTCTGTAAAGTGCAACCTAAAATCAACCTAAAATTAATTTAAATAAATAGTTTAGTGATTGATGTTGGTTGTTTAAATAATATTAAAATGGTTGAATACGCATATATAAATTGCTAATTGTGTTTCAATGCTCATATAATCGAACTTTGACAGCACAATTATTTAGTTTCGATTTTTTATGTCTTTTCTCCATCTTTTCTTCAGGCCTTGGCCATGCCTCCCCTCTCTGGCCCCCACATGCTGACCCTGCTGCAGCTTGCAGTACTAACTTGTGTGACTGGTGGGGCCTACTATGGACACAAGCAACACCCACAACAATATCAACCAGTGCAGCACCACCAACACATGGGCATGGGAAAAGAAGGATTTCCTCAGCAGCAGTTTATTGGCAAAGAGATTCCCTACATGCAGTATCCACATTACAGGAAGGAGTTACCCCAGATACCCGTGTTCAAGGGTAAAGAAAGTGGTCGTAAAGGAGGTCGATATAATGGTGGTCAAGACAAAGGTAAGAAAAATAATACATTTTCAGCAGACAGCACTGGGACAGAAATTCTTTATTTTCTCACTTGTAATTTAAAAACTATTCGATGATCCCGTTAGGTCAGACAATTCCTAGTGGTGCAGAGGGAGTTCCTCAGGGACAACCTGGTCCAGCTGGGCCACCTGGACCAGAAGGACCACCAGGACCTCCTGGGCCTCCTGGGGATGGACAGCCAGGACTTGTTGGACAGCCTGGACCCGCAGGACCTCCAGGCTTGCCAGGCATTGGAAAGCCAGGTTTGCCAGGACTGCCAGGAAAGCCAGGAGGAAATGGCGAGCCCGGTCCACAAGGAGAAATTGGTCCTAGGGGTGAGGAAGGGCCACCTGGACAGCCAGGGCCTCAAGGTCCTCCAGGACCCCCTGGACTACCAGGAATAGGTAAACCAGGAGTACAAGGACTACCTGGTCAACCAGGATTGAAAGGATTGCCAGGTCACAAAGGGCTGCCAGGACTGCCAGGATTACCAGGGCCAAAGGGGGATAAAGGGATGGGTCAACCAGGTCTACCTGGTCACAAAGGGCTTCCAGGACACCCAGGACCAATTGGCCCAAGAGGACTGCCTGGTTTTGGAAAGCCTGGGCTTAATGGTTTACCAGGCCCACAAGGACCCCCAGGGGAGAAAGGGTATCCTGGAGAGCCTGGACCAGCTGGGTTAACTGGAGAAGGAGGACAGCCTGGCCCACCAGGGTTACCTGGCCAAGGAAAACCAGGTCAGAATGGTCTCCCAGGTCAACCAGGTGTACAAGGACCTAAGGGACATCAAGGAATACCAGGTTTGCCAGGGAAACCAGGTCTACCAGGATTTGGTAAACCAGGACTTCCAGGACCAAATGGTGACAAAGGAATGAGTGGACCCCCTGGATCTCCAGGACCAAAAGGAGAAAAAGGACATGTGGGACTGCCTGGCATGCTCGGACCTCCTGGTCCAAATGGCCCATCTGGTCCCCCAGGTCCAATGGGACCCTCAGGGGGTTTGGGTTCCCCTGGTCCTAAAGGTGACTGTGGTGAAGTAGGACCTAAAGGGCTTGATGGAGGCCAGGGTGAACCAGGTCCTTCTGGCTTGCCTGGTAAAGATGGTCTACCTGGAGAAATTGGAGAACCAGGCCCAAAAGGTCCTCCGGGGCTCAATGGTCCTAAAGGAGATGAGGGTCATAAAGGTTTACCTGGTACCCCTGGTCCTATTGGACTACCTGGACCAAAAGGGCAGGTAGGACCACCAGGTGAAGAGGGACCTCAGGGTCCCCTAGGAATTCCAGGAATCGATGGGTCAGCAGGGCCAATAGGTCCTCCTGGTTTTCCTGGGCCAAAGGGAGACATTGGTGCACCAGGTCTACCAGGGATTGCAGGAGAAGGAATCCAAGGAGTTTCTGGTCCCATTGGACCACCAGGACGAGATGGTCCTTTAGGACCTCCAGGACAACCAGGTCAGCCTGGGCCACCAGGCCCACCAGGTATACCTGGCTTGTCTCCTGACATGGCTGGAGTCCTTTCTGAGATGGGCCCTGGACTCGATGGTGTCAAGGCTGGTGGTTATGGGAAAAAGGGCAAGTATGGAGGTGAGGGGGCAGAAGTGATGGGTGTTAGTGGGTTGGAAATGCCAGCCTTCACTGCAATAGCAACAACACCCTTTCCTCCTGTGGGCACTCCAGTGATCTTCGACAAGCTCTTGTACAATGGTCGCCAAAACTACAACCCTCAGACGGGAATTTTCACCTGTGACATGCCTGGCATTTATTATTTTGCCTACCACATCCACTGCAAAGGAGCCAATGTTTGGGTGGCTTTGATGAGGAACAATGATCCAGTCATGTACACATATGATGAATACAAAAAGAGTTTCCTAGACCAAGCGTCAGGGAGTGCAGTGTTACCTCTACAAGCAGGAGACACTGTGTATATACAGATGCCCTCAGATCAGGCTTCAGGACTCTATGCTGGGCAATACGTGCACTCCTCTTTCTCTGGGTATCTGCTGTATCCAATGTAACACCTCAGGGGTGAAGATGAAAAACCTCAGTGAGAACACAAGAATAGCAGATTTTTGTATATTATAAAACATGGTCAAAAGTTAAGAGTATTTTTAAAGTGAGAGGCAATTCTTTCTTTAAGGATAAGATGAAGAGTTTCTGGAGGAAATATCACAGATTGTGGTCTAACCTGAAGACCGCAAGCTGTTCAAATGGAAACACAGAGCTTTAATATTTTTATAAAGGACCTTACTAAAGGACCTTACTAATGGAGATAATGGAGACAAAGACCTAGACCACCGTGTGATAATGGAGACAAAGACCTAGACCACCCACAGATGGTCACCAGCTCAGCCAGTATGTCCCCTTGGGACTTGCATTGTTCTGCTTGGGCTGCATAGATCCAAACAGGACTGATTAAATTTAATCTGGCCCAGTGAGAGGCCAAACAACTGATACATTACAGGGCCTTAGTGGCCCACGTCTGGTATCCAAAAGGTCACATATAGTTCCACTGTTGGTAAACATTTTAACAAACAGTGAGAGTTAAATTACTTTAACTGAGGGTTGCATTTGGGTCAAATATAAATGTAGCCAGACATATCTTATCCGAGCCATATCTTAACCTAATTAAAACCAAACATGTTTTTTTATCACACTAGACCCATCGTAGGGCCTGAAAATGGCCAGACAGATTGTTCTGTCCAACATTATAGCAGATAAGAGACATCACTTGTTCAAGTCTGTCTTAGAATTGGCCCATCATTTTGACACCTGGGTACCAGAAGTGGGATGGTGGTTACCAGTAGCTCTTCACCCACATAGAGAGCTATTGAGTTTGGGCTACATGAAATTTTCAGATGAACATACATTACATTTATTAGGCATTTTTTACTGGAATGGGTGACACAAAAATTGCTGGTGTTTGAAATTAAATATATAAAAATAAGTAAAACTGAACAAAACAGTTACCCTGTTGTAACAGTTTTTGTCCTGGCAGCTACCCCGTGTGGCAAAAATGTGAAAAGCTATAGAATTCACAAACATCGTCTAAGAGGAAATTTTTTTATCAGCATAGGTTAGAAATGCGCTTGTCTCTGCTTTGATTATGAACAGCATGCAAACTAGATTAAGCTGCACAGATCAGACCACGTGTCTCTGTGATTTAGAGGTGAACACCGTTTTAGGATTTAACCGACAATTGACTGGGATTTGAGTTAAGGTTTTGTATGTTCTTGAAATTCATTTGGATTGCAGAGAATATTCAAATTTACAAAATATGAGGACCCAATAAGTGTGATCTATGTGTGTGCGAAGGCAGTAAAGAGAAGGTGTAACAGGTGGTCAAAAAAGTAAAGGGCATGTTAGCTGTGTTGTCTGACAATTACTCCCATGAGTGAGAATTAGGGGGAAAAGAATGTAATGCTATTTTAATGTTTAAATGTTATTGGATTTAGTAGGAAAATTGCTAAGATTAAAAAGAACACAAATTAATACAATATTTTATCTTAATAAAAAGTTGGGGAACACTGCTATAGTGTTATATTGTTATAAGAACAATACTTTTTCAAAGAGGTTTTTTCTTCTCATTTTGAATTTATTTTAAACTCAGCAGGTGATATATTTATACAAACAAGGATGTGATGAATCCAAATAATAAAGATTTTTATTGAGTAACTTGGATTTTCAACAATATGTTTCCATCTCATTTGTTTTGAAGCAGTTAACACAACTACTATAGGTACTACATAGTATTTTCAGGAAACCTCTGCAAATTAAATGAAATATTCAATCTTTGAGTTCACAGCAGCAACTGTTTAGTAATTTATTAACTTATGCCATTCAACAAACAAGTGCTAAAGTTTTTTTTTAATAATGGTGCTAATATTTTTCAGTGTAACCAATGATTTAATGTCTTAATGTTTGTTATTATTGTTTATTTGTTTTTCTAAATAAAAATGTTAAATTTAAAAAAATGCATAATTTGTTTTTTAAATTTCACTTTTCACTTTTATTTTCACTTTACTAATACGTCTCAATTTCGTTGTACCCCGGTGGTACAATGACATGGTACTAGTCTCTTTTGGAGACTAGTACCATGTCATTGTACCACGTGTGATGCACAAGGGAAAAATTATCATTAGATTTCGGCTCATATTTAATTAATGAAACAGAAAATTAAAATAAAATATCAAACAAACACAAAACAATGCTCAGTTTTCTTGATTATATATATTTACACACCCACACAAACACGTATCTACAAGGAAATATTGAACCGGTCGTGCACCATTTGCATCATTTAAGAGATGCTGATGCTGACATGGGAGGAGCTTTGACTCAGAGGCAGTACGCATGCGCATAGCAACCCTTTTATTGCTTACATCTATTGTGAGTCCACAAGAGGCATCGAGCTGAAGGAGTTGTTAGAAAATAACAATCGGTATGTTGTTGTTGTTTTCTTCTTCCAAATTTAAGGTATCATACATCACGATGTTTCCATAATGTGACGGCATACGGCAACGAAGCGGTGCGGCACGTACGGGAACTATTTTCTCTAAATATAATGCCAAATTTAGTTAGCATCAGAAGCTAACAAGCTAACAGATAATTTAAAGGTGTATAAATTAGCCTGTAGTCCATTATAATTTACAGAAAACACGCAGTTGCGTTTGTTCTAATTTCCCATTCTAATGTTTATGTTATGTCTGTATTTACCCGTTAATCGTGTTCTAATGGGACTGTGACGTGAGTAGTGTTTGTGTCGTCTACTGGCTTTATTGTTTTCCATCTAGGAAATGACAAAATAGCAAATTATTGTGCAGCAGAGGAATTTAATTACACACACCCACTTTAGAGGTTAAGCATTTTTGTTTAAAAATAAAGTTATTGACTGCATCGCAGTATTAGTCACACCGATGCCATATATTTAATAATAAGAAACAAGTGTAGCAGATGAAAGATCGTCCCAGGACAATGAACAGTGCCCAAAAGAGGTGAAGAATAGGGTGTGGTCAGAGACGAGTGGGTGGAAACAAGAGTCAGGGGTGATTAATGAAGGGCAAAGAAGAAGGTTAACTAGACGACTGTGGGATCTGCTATAATTTAGGTTTGGAGTCAGCAGCACTGTGGAAAAAACAGGACGTAGAACTAAAGTGTCGAACGTGGCAAGACTTTCATTGAAAGTGATCAGAATGAACAAATAAGCAGATTCTCAGATATAGATTTGGGGGACAGCTAAGAATTAGAAGATTAAAGAGAGATAAAGGACATTCTGATCTCTCCTTGAAAAGTAGTTGAAGTAGAGAGAGAGAGTAGAGAGGTCATCAACTTAATTGTTTTAAAGGGAAAGAATGTTCTTATGCTGCAACAAATATTTATATAAAATTATCTTGGTTGCTTAAAGGTCAGAGAAAGGTTAAAATGTAAGTCATACATCCATTATCCAATTAAAAAATGTATTTTTTCTGGCAACAGCTGCCTTCAACATGACATCACGTGTAAGTCACAGAGCTGCTGCTGCAGCTGCAGCTGCTGCAGCTGCTGCTGCTACTGCTACCAATGGAAAAGAGTCCAAACCTCGAGAGAGAGTCACCCTACATTACCAAATGAGGCAAGAAACCTTTATTTGTTTTTTTAACTAATGTAATGCTACATTGAATTAAAGCAACTGTTCCAAACTAATGTTCTACTTTGCATTTCACAGTGCTTCTCTGAAATCAGAGGTACGAAAGTTAAACCTGATCCATCTTGTGATTTGGCTGCTGGTTGCTGCTCAGGTGACAGTCAGCCACCTCAACCTGGTGCCACACGATGTGGTGTCCAAGCCCTATCAGTGGGAGTACCCATACCTGCTCAGCCTTCTCCCTCTGCTCTTTAGCAGTCTGTCACTTCCAAAAAACAACATCAGCTACTTGGTAATATCCATGATCAGTGCCGGGCTGTTCAATATGGCTCCTCTTATTTATGGCGGGATGGAGATGTTTCCTGTAGCCCAGCAGTTGTACCGTCATGGAAAGGCCTACCGCTTTATTTTTGGCTTCTCTGCAGTGACAGTAATGTACCTGATCATGGTGGTGGCTGTTCAAGTGCATGCTTGGCAGTTATACTACATGAAAAAACTGTTAGACTCATGGTTCAATTCCACAGAAGAGAAGAAGAAGAAATAGTGGAGGGAAGAATTGTGTGAATGTGCAAAGTTATTGTATTTATTTAAAATGTGGTTAACTACACACGTTTTCCAAATATTTAATAAACAATTGAAAATAAAATTTACAATTACCCTTTTTTTCACGTGTTATGTCATTTGTCACTGCCTCGGGATTCCCAATGTAATTGCAGGTGGTCGAAACAGTATTTGATACAATGCTAACAATTGGGAACAACTGTAAGCAACAACGGTTTGGTACAGATAACGTGTTTTCCTGTGGTTATCCCTTGTGTGAACCTTTACTTGGAGAGCACTGAAGATGAATGGGTTGGAGGTATGGTGCTTCATCACAAAGTCAGCCTATCGTCTACTAACTAAAAATACGCCCTCTAGACAAAATGCACATCGGTATATTCATATACTGTAAATGTTGCTCTTTGCTATCTATACGAGTCAGCAAAGACGCACTTTGTTCACATTTTGTGCGGCTGCGCGGACTCAGCGAATGCCACGTCTGTCTGACGTTGTCTGTGTGGATACGCTTCCTGATGCTGGCCCCACTCTGGTTAAGGCTAGCAAGCTCACCCGCTTCATTTTCACTGTTTTGGGACAAAACAAGTGACATTCGTTGTGTTCGAGTTGCAATCTCCAGGTAAATAGTTTTTTTTGTTTCATGCTTCAGCTGTGACATAATTCATAACCATAAACGCAGCCAGCGCTGTTTTGTCGTAGACATTTTGATTGTTCATTGTGCTAACCTGCTAACAGCACCGCTAGCAGAACACTAGCACAAGTTAGCTCGCTAATGTTTTGCGCTAACGCCCAAACAGGTTTAAGGACTGAGCTGTATAGAGTAGTAAGCGATTTGTGATAGATATGTTTATATTAAAAGATCTTATGGTCATAATACGTTTTAATTAATAATGTCACGCTATCTTATCTTAAAAGCACGTCACAATGACTCTCTTCATGCGATTCAATGCCAAAAGTGAAACGAAGGCACAGTTGTCACATTTATAACATACTGTATATAAATAACACAATGACAAAAGAAAAAATGTCGTAGGTTGTTTTTATTTGTAAAGTCTTAATTAATTACATGGTATATGTTAAAGTAATTGATAGTGTAGCGTTAGTGAAGCACTGATGTTATGGGCCACTGACAGATGACTCTGCGTTTAAAAAGTCCTTACGTTTGACTGCAATCATAATTTCACCATAATTAAATTGTAATACCTGGAATGACCTAGTATTCGTTTGATATGTTTTATAGCTGTCACTGAATGATAGACGTTAGCAACTTAAAAATCCTTAGCATCCAGCTAATTATTCATATGGAAAGGACAAGTAACGCTATTTTATTAAATAAAATAAGAAAACCCGCATACGTTTAACAATAATTCCATGTAAACATTCAATGTTTTTTATTTATATTTATGAAAGGTTCCATTTTTATCCATATTTTTAAAGATAAAATAACTTAGAACAGCATTGAACGCTGGATGAAATAACTTAGAACAGCATTGAACGCTGGGATTTATTTGGTACTGTATTAATTCAAAGTCATTTTAGTAATATAATAGGTTAGGGTTAGGGTTTTTTTAATAATCAACCAGTGCAAGTGTTTCATAATAAAAGTTTGTCACATTTATCAAACCGGTTAAAGGAATGGTGGCTGCATTCCATAATGTTTGTAACTTTGTGAGGGTGGAGTTTGATAGTTATGCAAATAGTTACAAAATTGACTTGTGACAGATCAGAAGTGTGAATCACATTATTTTTTTAAACATGTCTTTGACTTAGCTCTATTTCTTCACAGAAACATTGCAAGTTGCTGAAACCAAAGAGTTCTCTACATATTAGCTCTGATTGTCTTATCTAATCAGGTGATATTTTGGGTCAAAGTTTTAAAAGGTTGATGTTTGACTGAAACAGGATGTTCTGACATAAAACCATTAATTGATTTAAATCCCTCGGTAAATTAGTAAAAATATTATAAGTGCTAATTTAATCATGGAGCTGTGTTTAAAAAAACCAACCATTTGTTCAGAGACGGTGCCTCATACCAGTCATATCTCCTTATCTGCTGATACAAGCTTTGGCCTCACAAGAAATGCTTGCTGTCCACATTAATCTGTTCCCTTTGAAAGTTCTGATGACGCTTTAGTGGAATAAACAGGTTTAAGTCTGCATGAAGTCAATGTTTATTTCTCTTATGTTATATAAAACTTTCCTTCTAAATGAAAAGTTCCTTCCTAACAGAATTGAACCCCAAGGAAAACAAGGTTTGCAAACAATATGCAACCATTTTGCTGTTTTTTCTACTAATGAAACTTGTCAATTTAAACATCCAACTTGTTTTTCCTGAATTTGTCTACTCTTCAAACATTAGATCTTTTCCTCTTAAGTTACACCGTGTGCGCTGCAGGCAATGTTGTATTAGTTTGCCAAACTTATTTATTCAGTATCTTCAAATAGTTTATGGGAAAATTCAATGTTATAACAGCACTTTGTGAAATGTTGATTAAACAACTGTAATAGCCTCAAACTGTTAAAACATTGACACAAACAGAGCAGAACCTTCACATTCCAAATGTGCTATTTTTTGTGTAGACTAACTTGCCTCGGACAGTTAAGCGGTGGGAGCTGAACAGGTCAGACTGTACCATGAACGGCCAGCTGGACCTGAGCGGGAAGCTGATCATCAAAGCCCAGCTGGGCGACGACATCAGGCGCATCCCTATCCACAATGAAGACATCACATATGATGAGCTTGTCCTGATGATGCAGCGAGTCTTCCGGGGCAAGTTCCAGAGTAACGATGAAGTTACCATCAAATATAAGGATGAGGGTAAGACAAAGCAAAGGTCAACTGTTGAACATTGGACATTATCAACTCCTTACAAATGACATTCAATGTGAAAAAGTTGATATAGGCAGGTGGAAATAAGAAACGATCATGAATATGTTAATTTTCATCATTATGTTAAATAACATTTATCAAGAGCAGAAAAGCATTAAAACTCAAACTAATAATGATGACTTTAGAGTCTGTCAGTCCTATTGCACTTGCAAAATTAATGCATTGATGCAAAAAAGGTTGTTTTGTTTTTTTTAAAATAAGTTGCCAGACATCAACTAGAGTTGTTTTTCTTTTTACAGACGATGACCTCATTACCATCTTCGACAGCTCTGACCTCTCTTTTGCCATCCAGTGTAGTAGAATACTGAAACTGACCTTGTTTGGTGAGATGTCAACTATTTCTTTTCTGTTTAATCTTCATAGATACACAGCAAACTGTCCTTCAGTTCTATAGTTTCTTTGAAATGCTTAGTGGGTAACGTTTTTAAAATGATAGGCACTGTAAAAAACAAAAAGGTTCCAGAACAGACGTTACTACAGTCCGTCACTGGAGGGCAGTGCAGTTTAAGTTACCACTTACCACAAAGTTCTCTGCTGTCTCTACTCTACAAATTCAGTGTTCATTTATTTTTTTGTTCAAACAAACGTTGTTAACATGTGGTAGATTTTTTTTTTACCCAAGACCGTTTTGGCAGTTTTACTGGTTTGTAATCTTTATTTAAAATATGAACACGCCCAGTAAAGTACACATTTATTTGGTACTGTCTACAAAGTTGGACCTTAAATTCGACAGTTCTCAGGTAAACTAAATAAAGTTTTATACATTTTTCTTTATTCATTAGGAGGGAAGTTTTCCAAAACTGGATGCCCTGCAGAGGCCCTGTGGCATACATAACTTAAATGTTTTAATATCTGACTCTTGAGCTGTTTATTAAGTCTGTAAATGGTCCTTTGGAGCTTTTCGCCTTCCTGCCAGGAAATAAAATTGTGTTAGACATTTAACAGAATGTTAAGTTGAGAAGTTAATGAAGTCAAGAATTTAGATTGATCCTCAAATGCTATACCACATTATGGAGTCCTGGAAATTAATAATGTAATTTGTAAGGACAAGGTGATGACGTTTGCCTGCCCTGCTGTGAGTCAGTTTATCCCAAACTCTGCTCACTGCTATTATTAGCCGCAGAGCTGAGAGACATTTGTTTCTTGTGCTTAGTATGTTTTCACCCTCCTGCCAATCAATTTTGAGTACTCGCTTGTGTTGACATGGCATGACTTCATATGTGAATGATATCTTTGGACATGTGTCAAGAGCGTGAGTTGCAGGGTTTTAATGGCAAACCTCTGACACCATGTAGAGCATGATCAACCCAGACAGAAAAACATGTGTAAAAACTAAATGCCTGGTGGTTCATTTATTCCTTCACAATATATTTACTTGACCGTCAATCACATTTGATTGGAGTAGAAGTTCAAATTGTATTTAATTAAGGGAATACATCAACCTGAAATTCCCTCTTAATGTGTCTCCAAACCAGATAACATGTAAAACTGATAAAAGATTACATTGACAATTCAACTATATGTCAAACCAGTTTAAACCATATGTCAGTAGTTTCAGCCTTATTGTTCAGTGTATAGCAAGTGTTGGTGACATTATGACAGTGAAAAACAAGTGTTTCTGAGAGAACAGTATACCTGTAATCACTTGAGAATCTAGCAGCTCATCTTTCAGAATAAAGCTGTAGAAATTAGGTGTGTCTGGTTTGTTTTATATTGCACCAGAAGTGTTTTATTTTTCAGTTTTTTTGGCAAGGTTTTCTGTCAATACATTCATGGCCTTCCCAGTCGACTAACTCCACAAACGTAGCAAGTAAATTTCCCAGAAGGCCTGTGTGCATATTCAGCTCCCTGCCTGCTAGTCCTTTGGCAAGACACTCGATCCTTTAGTAGCCAATCAATCTGCGGCCACCCAGTGCTGGTCCCAGGCCTAGATAAATGTGGACTGTCGTGTCAAAAACTGCCTCTAGGGCCAATAATTCTATACAGACTACTCACTGCAGAAACACCTAATTCACTTTGACTCCATAAGCTCCAAATAATCATGAACTGCACAGTCTGTACAAACAAAAATATTACTGCAATGTAACACAATGCTGGTTGAGGTTCTGTCACATTAAGATTTTTTTTATTTACTGTGGGAGGTCATCTAACAACATTACCTAAACTATGTTATTATTGCATAATATGAACTACTTGGTATATGTTAGTATGGTTTATTGTACTCTATTCTAGTGTGTTCCTATAGGTTTAAAGAGTTCTATACTTTTGTGGGATTAGTTATGTTTGACTTTTTTTCTCCTCCTCATCTGCTGTATATTATTTGCTGTTTTAGTTAATGGTCAGCCTCGGCCTTTGGAGTCCAGCCAGGTGAAGTACCTACGCAGGGAGCTGATTGAGCTCAGGAATAAAGTCAACAACCTCTTGGATAGTTTGGAGCCGCCCTCAGAGCCTGGCTTAGCTGCTACAGCACCAGAGAGTGGCAAGTACAAATTCTTAGGATCTTTTCCATTTGTTTCAAATGTATCCTTTTTTATTTTTTCCTACAATCTCTTGTAGTACTCATCCAGAGAATAATACATAGTGAAATAAATATGTTGTAATTTTGTTAAATTCATTGCTTCCCCCTTCATTGCTTTTCCCCTTCTCTTGTTTTGTTTATTTATTTATTTATTTTACATTTTTGTGTTTTTTTGTTTCTAGAAGCAGTTGATGGACGCGAAGGCAAAGTAGTGACGGGAGAACCCACAGGGAAACAGGCCACTCCAGTCAGTGCAGCCAGCATGTCGGCATTTGATCCATTAAAAAACCAGGATGAGGTCAACAAGAATGTCATCTCTGCTTTTGGTCTGAGTGAGGACCAGGCCCAAGGTATTACACAGTAACTGCACATTTTAAAAGTATAATCCGTAAGCACAGACAGACATCCAAAGTACAAACATTTATTCTACTTGGATAATGTGTCTGTTATTCACGAAGATAAATGGCAAAAAGTCTGAAGAGTCCCAAAAATTTGGCCACAGGAGCTTCATGCCATAGACCCTGCGTCTCTGTTGTAAAAGAAACTGCTAGATTTAAGGTACGCAAGACATGTGCCAGGGAAAACCATGTGCTCTCCAAAAAGAACATCAGGGCAAAACAACAGTTTGCCAACTAACATATGAACAAAGACCAGGCCTTTTCAATTCATGCACTCCATTAGCAGATAGAGTTGATACAGTCTTGTAGCCACTGAGTCAATAGATGTTTGGTGCAGACCAGAGAAAACATCTTAGGAAAAGGACCTGGTCAGAACATGGAGAATGGAGATGGAAATATTCTACTTTGGAACTGTTTCACAGCCTCATTGATTCAACAATGTACTGTTCATTGTGGAAGAGTTAATGAACACCGAGTGCCTTGATTAGTTTATAAATAGACCTTTCAACAGGACAATCATCTGAGCACATTTGTGATTTAACTTGAGGTGGGCATTTCATGCAAGGAAGACAGAAATAACTTGTTGAAAATGAAAACCTATATGTATGACTGATCAAAAATATCAACAAGCTGATGGCAGAGATGTGATGTGTGCTTATGATAAATGTCTACAATAATTATTTTCTGCTGCGGAGTGCAGTGTTTGTTTCCAAACCCTTTGGTGTACATGTTTTTGTTCTTTATGGATGATACGAAATATCAAACTTTAACCTTATTTATACAGCAGGCTGAAACACAGCTGTTGTTGGCCAAAGTGCTTTGCAGGTTCAGCCAACACAAAAGTGCATATGCAGGCATAGGGAGTCTTTATTCATTTAAGTACTATGTTTCTTCATACTTATCTGCACAAAAACAGGACAGGTCCCAGTCACTCAGATTTCTTCATCGCTGTATAGAAAATGAATTGCCACCACAATACTTAATGCAAAGAAAATATGAATTGTCCAATATGACACTGGGAAACCAAATGCTTTAGCTGCCAACAAGTACTACACCAAGTACTGAAAATTCGGTTACCACTTGGCGTGTGTATTGGCTAGAATGGTGACAGGATATTTCAGTGTATCGATATTGTCTTACTCTCCTTGCTACTACACAGTCATCTTTGACATGGTATAGATACAGTAAAGTCAGGTTCACTATAATGACTGTTGCCTTTTTTCCTGTTGCGCCTAATGCTAATTTTTCTATATTCATATATTGTCATATAGAATGCTTATTTACTCCTTCTCTGTCTCCTCCCGTGCCACCTGAGCAGCACCCCCACCAGTTGCACCGGACGAGCGCTCAGGAACTCCTGACAGCATTGCCTCCTCCTCATCAGCTGCCCAACAGCCAGGAATGCCCCCCCAACCACAGCCTCCCTATCCTGGAGTCCAGCAGGGACCCTCAGCCGGCATGGATGGTGAGAGGAAGAGCTTTTTTTATTTTGAAAAGAATAGATTCACTCATTCATCATGGTAGTGTTGAAATCAACACCATGTAAACAACTGTATCCATTCACTAACATTTGTCTTATTCAGATCCTCCCATATGTGATTTAATTTGAGGTGTTGACTTCAATCTGAAGTCTCAGATAAAGATGAATGATTTCACCATCAGACAGCATATTGGCAAAAACAAACATGACGTATTTGGCCTAGTTCTCTGTGCATACAACCGCTCTGCATGGATGCAGCTCCAGGGTTTGGTTTCCTGTGCCTGTGTGCCATCTTTTTTTTCCATTACCTCTCACTTTAGGGAAACCCCTGGCTCCCATCTCATTTTGTTGTGAAGGTGAAGCATTCTGTGCCGTTAACCACACTGTACTAAGCAGACTGGAATGTTTTCAGCCAGCGGTTTGGCCCAGTTAGATGTGGAGGCCACTGGAGCAAAAAACAAGATGCTTCATATTGCACCCTCTGAGAGCTGTAGCTTGTTCTCAGAGCAGGAACACCTGCAGCTCTAAATATTAGCACACATGTGTGAGATGAATACTCCCATTTTACTGGTGGTTTGTGGTTTGGCCTTGTTGGAGTTACAGGGCCGATCCACTCCTTAACACTACAGTTGGTCCAGGAGAAAGTTTTACTCACTGGTTGTTGACGAGCAACATCATGATGTTGCACACTCCACAAAAACCTGCTCATGCTTCAGTTTTCCTTCCATTACAAAAAGGACAGAGAGAAACAACAGCCTTTGCTGACTAATATGGGACTTGTTCTCCTGTGGTGTTTGATTCTGATGCAGTGATGTAGTGCTGTGATGGTGGAGGTCTAAAGATCAGTCCAAGCTCTGCATGGGTAAAAAACATTGGCAGTCCGGCTCTTCTCACAGCCAAAAATGTCAGGGCTTCTTTTTGTCACTGTTATTTTTGCTCACGCCATAACAACTCTACACAGCGTTTGTGTTGCTGTGTAGCGTTTTAGTTCAAGTTGTTGCCATGCCTTTTTTATTTTCATTACTTTTCTGGAATTAGGAACATTGTTGATTAGCGATGTTGGTGAAAATCCTGTGCTCTGATTTGTTCATAAGTAGACCTTTCAACAGCTCAATGGTCTTAAGAATACTGCCAATTCCAAGTTAGATTCAAACGGAAAAAAAAATAGACTTAGGAATACCATTACTATGATTTGATTTGAAATAGCGCGTTCATGCAACAAAAAAAATGAAGAAAAAAACACCAAAACATTTTGAAACTGAAAAGAGTTACAGCTGTTTTGTTGAAGTTCTTGTCATGCCTTTTTATTTATATAAGATTGTTGCTGATGAGTGTAGCTGATTAAACAAATATCAGACCAGACTGATCGGAATCTTACCAGAAAACCAGAGCTCGTGTCTGGGCTTGATAGAACTAAGCAGTGACTGACCAGCCAAGGATGTGTCTTTGTCTGTTGTAAAATTTAGGATCTCAGAAAACTTTCGTTCACTCACAAACTGCACGGTGGACAGAGATTAATTGTCTCGAGAACTTACTTTGATGGGAGTCATAAAATGAACTGCCAAATTTCATATTATATGTAGATGAAAATAATCTTTTTACATTTAAAAACAGTTTGAAAGACCTGGTTTTTAAGTTGATGTGCCCAATACATTTGTTTGTGTGATGAGTTGTGATGGCCTGCGGCGTCTTCAGACCTGGGATGCACAAAAATATTCTATTTGTCACATCCTTAAGCACCTAAACCTGCCGGGTGGTGCTCTGATTATTGATAAACAACATTTGAAGTTATAGTTTAAGGGCTAAACTCATCAGCTGTCTCTGCTGAATTGTTGGCTGTTGGCAGTGCCCAGCATTTTCCCCGTCAGCGTAAAATCTGTGGCAAACTTGCATCAGGATTACATTGTAAAACAATTACAGTCCGCCATGATGTCATTCAGTGTCATGCTTATACAACTACCGTGGTATAACTGCAGCAACACGCTTTATGCAAAAAACAAACAATGGTCAATGTGGTCAATTTCCGTTGAAATCTTAATATCATTGATACTGTGTGACCATTTTTAACAAAAATAACTATAAAGGGATTCATCTGTATCTAACCTTCCTCAGGAGAGAGTTAAACAAAATGATTGACCTACGGAGATGAGAAAAGTATTGTTATTACACACACTTGCAGCTGTGAGTATTTTCTGTTTTTCAACTTTACTACAGTTTTTAAATACATCCGAGTCCAGCAGTGGACAATGGACATTTTGTCCTCGCTGTATCATTACCTTACAGTTTCCTTCTTCATCTCTTCTTACTTCCAAAGCTGCAGATGGTTGGCGTACAAACTTATAAACTACATCCTGCCCAGTCTCCTCTCCCACTCCACAGCTTTCTTCTTGCATTTCTTCTCTGTCTGGTTGCAGACCGTCAGCGTGGGTTCCCTCAAGGCAAAGTTACAGAAAAACAGTCCATTTATGAGAATTAAAAAATGACATTGCATGAGACTCAGCTTAACATGTGTGGCCTTCTAAAGGTAGCCTTGAGCTCAGTTTAAATGCCATTGTGTTTGTTACCACAGCTAACAAGATACATAAGCACTTGGTAAATATTTCACAGCTGGAGCCTTTAGCAATAAACTAACATCCGGATAATGCAGTAAACGTGCTGACTTAACAGGAGGCCTTTCTGCCCCAGGGTCTTTTATCAGAGGGGCTGATGTAGGTTTGGTGCAAAATGTTTACTTTAAACACAAGATGTTTCTTCTGACCCCATCCTGAGGCCTTCGTAGATGAGGGGACAATGAAATGACATCCAAAAAACGTTTTGCGTCAGAGAACATACTAACTCCTACTTTGATTTTTCATTCCTAAAACAGTGCTGCACTGTCCTGGTTGTAGTCTTGTCCCCAATGCCTGACTGCAGTGGAATTACATGAACTCCCAGGTGAAATGGGTTCTGAAAGAGCCACGCATTCCTCCATCAGTCTTACATAACAGCATGATGTGGAACAGACAGAAGGGAACAGGAGGAGAAGCCAATTTCACACGCATGCCTTTTCACACAATAAACACTATGTTAAAAGTGCTGTCAGAAAGATAACAGATGGTTGCCACATCACTTTAGTATTTTTCAAAAAGATGCCACAAGAGGTACAGAGGGTTTGGGCTAAATATACAGTTGTCAAACGTCTTCTAAGGAAGTGTAGGGTGATTACCCTTTGCTGCTTCAGTGATGCAGAAAATAAGGATAGGAAAATAAGCCAAAAATGTTATGATCACTGCTGTGAGATCTACATGTGTCGCCAACACGTTTCTGGCCTGTTGAAACACAACTGTAAAAAGTTAGGGTTCTCGTTGAGGCCAAAGTGGTAAATTTTTCACTTCCTCAAAGTTGTCATTTAATGCTACAATTAAATTAAAACACATTCCTTAAAGTCATAGAGAATAATCATAATTGACTTTTGTTGTTGTAATTATAGTATCTCTATGTAGTCTTGGAGTTGTTGTTAAGCTCATCCTGAACTGCGTAATAGTTTTTGTGTGTTTTTGACAGATGGACAGAGGCTTTTATTTCCTCATTCTGCATTTAGATTTTCTTTTGCATGAACGTCAACGTCACTGTTTTATGGGCACTTATTGCTTAATCTCTCTTTTTCAATTCCCCATCATTTACCATCATTCCCTTAATAAAACAATCACTGCCTATGTAGGAATTTTACTAGATTTGACTAAAATAGGGAGTTGTTGCAGCCTAATCAAACTCATGTGGCCTCATGTTAGCATTGATTTTAATGTTAAATATCTTGTGTATGTCACAGGGCTGTAAAAGGTGCTTTTATTTAAATGTAGGGTTTTTAGGCTAACCATGAATAAGGTAAAGGCAAGTAAATGTTTACCAAAAAAGCTGAACTGAAGATTAGTTCAGAAAAAAGCTTAAGTTCTGCCTTTACAGGGCAGAATATGTCATCATTAACTTCATCTGCGACAGTAGTTCCTAATGGTCCACATTGTTAACATATTAAAAATTTCAAATAAGCCAACAACAAATGAACTAAGCCATATGTTTAAAATGTGTTGTATTGATCATTTTTGATTATTAGCCACACTATCAAATGAAAGGGATTTTACTAAAGCTTGGTCTCCAAAGCTGTGCGCTTCTCTAGTTCTCTCTACATGTGCTTTTAATGTGTCCTCACTCAGGCTTATTTCCCAGAAGATTTGGGTGCAATATTTAGGCCTTGTTAATGCAGAATGTTCTTCATATATTTGCCAAACGTACAAGCATCCAGTGGAAATTTTAACAAGCACATTAAAATATCAAGGGGAAGAAAAAAAACGTTTCATGTTTTGGAACCATTAAACCACAAAAGGTTGAGCAGTGGCATCAATGTCAAGTAAATGAGCATTGATTAAAATTATTATATTCAGGTGTGGTTAAGGCCTCAGGCACATTTGGCTATTTTTAAAGGAGTGCTATTTAAGGCACATCAGTGAGATGACAGCGCTTCTATACATGATTGTGAATTTCCACCACACGTGTACATAGACCGTGTGGACAGATGACATCATTGGTACAGTGGAACAAGGAGTCACTTTTTGTCTGGAGCAGCTGTTGATGAAGGAAAACCCACGTGCCTTTTTTATAGACACTCAATAGTGGATAAATATGTAGTTAAAAAATGGTGTCTTTCTCTTTGAACCTCTGTTTATATATGATCAGTCTCTGGTCCTGAGTATGTACGTGCTCTATCGTGCCCCAGAGAACTGTGGGCAGTGAGCTTTTAACAACAAATGGTTAAATAAAAAGTATAAGCATCTGCTTTCATTGAAGCAGTTCATTGGTACTGTATTTGTTCCAGATGCACAGGTGTTTTCATTAAGAAACAGACCACAGTCAGCACTTAGTCACTTTATAAGACTTGGTTAGATATCACAACATTATAAGGTTTTTTTTCCTAAACCAAATTGTTATGTAACAGCAGATGTAAACATTATGATTAAATGCACTTGAAAAATGTTCAATGTGGACTGACATTTTTGCAAGAAATGAAGTAATTGCATCCACCTCTTCAGGACACATACTCGGTATTTTTATTTCCCTACTATATATATCTTGTCAGTATCTGGTCTGTGAAAATATCCTCATTACATAGAACTCACACTGAGCTCTTATGGTGTTTATCTTGAGCCCTATGAAATACATGTAATAATCGAGTGCCTGGGACCCACAAAAGTCATTAATATATAGATAAATATATATATAAAAATGTAACATTTGCTGATTATCTGCAGGTGTAGTACATTTGTCTTCTGATGTAGAGGACACTGAGCATGGTGACATGTAGACCAAACAATCATAAATGGGTTGTGGTAAATTTATTATCTTTCCAATAGGGACACAACGATTGTTGAAATGATGAAAGAAACATAACAGAGCTCCAGACTGCAACTATTATTATTAGTGTTGTTTTCCAATCGTCAGTGTTGGAGTTCAACGCTGAGGTCAGGTTACTTATGCGTAAGTGTGAGCCAAGAGTCAGGAATCATAGAAGGTAGAGTTAGTCTGTGGTGTGTTGTCCCTAGAGGTATTGGGAAAAAAAAAAACTTAACAATGAAGTGTTTGTTGCTTTATGTGCTGCCTCAGCTTTGCTCAGACCGTTGATTGTGCAAGTGTTTTTTTTATTTATTTTTTTATAAAATATACCAATAACCAGAGAATCAAAGAAATTGTTGTATATAAGGTTGAACACAGACAAATATAACTAATATCAACTGCTATCATGAACAAAAACACCAGCACATTGAGATTACAATAGGCTGACCTTGGTGTGACCTCACTGATGTGGTGTTCAGTATTAGAAATGCGTTGAGGTGGGGGCTAGATGACTCATGGAAACTACTGCTTCTGACTCATGGAGCGGTAGAACATGATGATGTAATTTGGTTCATCAGTATTGATAAAAACATAAATTGTGTGTTCAGGTCAAGTGTACCAGCCATACCAAGCTCAAGGTGGATACCAACAACCAGGTGCTCCACCTCAGCAGCAGTATGGTATGCAGTATCCTGGTAAGAGTCAACTTAGCCAGTATATAAAAGGGGTGGGGGGCGTAGTTTTTTTCTTTTTTTTTTTATATAAATAAATCTTTCTCCCTCACTCAGCTGGGTATAGCCCTCAGCCTGGAGCTCCTCAGCCTGGCCCTCCACAACAACAACAACAGCCACAGCAGCAGTTTCAGAACTACCCCCCTCCAACCTCCCAGGCTCCTGCCCCAGGTCCAGCTCCAGCCCCAGCTCCAGGCTTCCAAGGTGGCCAGCAAGCGCCCCATCCATCTCAGGGAGCCCAACAGTATCCACCAGGAGCGTTTCCTCCCCAAAACTATTCATCCCAGGCCCCTCAGCCTGCTAACTACAACCTGCCACCCAACTCTCAGCCTGGATCAGCAGGATATCAACCCCGCCAGGGATACAGTGCACCTCCAGCCAGCACTCCACCACCAGGAGCCGCTAACCCATATGCCCGCAACCGCCCCCCATACGGTCAGGGCTACACTCAGCCTGGTCCTGGATACCGGTAAAGGAGGATAGCTGATGCTACTGATCCTCACACACCCTGTAATCTTTACCCTCTATGTGGCTCCAGCTGTTTGGAGTGGATGCAGGAAACACAGTTTACTGCTCTACATTCCCATCTCTAATGAATATCATGTCCAAATATGACACAAGCAACACCCTCTCTACCCCGCCTTGTCTGGTCTGACGGTTAGTGTTCGTATGGTGTCTGTTCAACACACCACTGTGTTCTGACCCTTTTTTTTTTTTTTTTTGCTCTTTCTGTTTTTGTTGACTACCCTCACGTAGCTGTTATCATAATGTCACGTCTGTATGCACTGGGGCTGTCACTAATTATAGCTACTTTAAATTCGAGTTTTGAAAACCATTTGAAGTGCAACTCTCATCTGTTTGAGTAGGAACACTGTTGCTCCTGCTTGTTTATGGGTTAAAAAAAAAAAATCAAACTTACTTTGGCACACCTGACTTAAAGCTAGCATGTTGTTCTACTCTCTGTCAGCGAGCCACCTGTGGGTAGATGCATATGAAAACACCTTTTCTCTTTAGTGTAGCTGGATATATATTAATTCATCTGTGCCTGTGTGTCCTAACTCACTCTACAAAACTCCACCAGGAGCTAGTATGTTGTTCTTCTGTGAAAAGATAAATAAACCTTGTGGGGACATAAAAAAACTACAAAAAACAACATATTTGCAGTTTCAAAATCATAATGCATACGAAAAAGGCTGCTTATTAAACATACTGTTCTTGCTAGCTGGCAACTAATCCCTCACTAAACAGTGCAAGCAAATGGATGCTCTTATTTGTCTTTCTGTTTTAGTAGTGAACTAGTAGTGAAGGACAAGCCAGAAGAACGTTGTGTGAATCAGAGAGGGAATTTTGTAAGAAGGTCTAGCGAGTCATGTAAAATGAGTAAGGCTTGATTTTGTGAAAGGTGGCAGCCCCAGTCTGCACACAGATGGAAAGTCAAAACAAAGTCAGTCTGTTGTTTATTGTTGTTTTCATGGTAACACTTGTGAGTGAGCTCAGAATCCACAGTCTGCTTTGTCAGCAATGAACCATCTCCAACTTCTGCATTCAGTTTACGGTGCATTTGTGCATTTTTAAGACACTATGTAAAAGCAAATCTACCCCCTCTTTATTTGATCAGTTCTTCCACCATGTCGGTATTAATGCTGTGTTAGTAAAATTGCGTCATTTTAGGAACACTAGCTAGGCGGGTGGTTCAGATCCCAGTGTGATGGAGGTTTTCTTTTGTTTAGCTTGTTTTATCACCTCTAAAAAAAGCCTGTTATTTTTCTTTTCTCTGTCACTGGTTTTTACTAATATATATCAAATTCCACCTTCAGAAGAGATTAGTTGTTTATGTATAAACTGTAACATTTTTTCTTGAACCTAATAAATGATTGAGACCCTGCTGGAGACCATTTATCTCCCTGTTATATGTTGTACTTGGCGGTTTTGTGTGTATCTCTCACACTCTCTCTGTGTGTGGTTTGTGAGCCGTGTCTCTGTTAAGTTTGG